CTTTGTGCCTTTCCTGGAGCTCACTTGGTAGCCCAGGCTGGCCTCGAACTCACAGAGATCTGCCTGGCTCTGCCTCCCGAGTGCTGGGATTAAAGGCCCAGCTTCTCTCTTTCTTTTTTAAATTATGGCACATCTCATTTATACTACAGTATAAATATATTCATGTTTTACAAGTTGGTATTTATTGATTCAACAATAGAAAAGGCTATGTCTTTCATTTTCATAATGGAATATGTCAGAATAGGAGGAAAGGAAAATCAAAGTCCTAAATTGTAATTTTTACCAAAAAAGCATAATTATGAGATTGATACTTGAAAATCAAAACCAATGACATCAAAGCTGCCCACCATGGGATTACTCCTTACTATTAAAATATCTCAGATATAAATTGCATCCAGAAAAGACAGGTTTAATGAAGTCCTGGTATAGAAGAGAAGTAGCTCCATGAAGTGCACTCTGTATAGCACAGCTATTACCACCCAATTCTAATGTTGGCTAAAGCCAAATTCTCTAATGAAATTAATGTGGTTCATCATTGAGGTTTAGAAAAATGTTGCTAGAAGATGTTCAGCAGTATCTGAGTGGAAATCCACTCAGTAGTAGAGCTTTTCTTAAATTAGCTCGTCTACCTTTTACCTCTGGGTTCTTACCTTTCTCTATTTCTGAATATCTTTTCTTTCCTTCTTACTCCGTGTTTGGCTGTGTAGCTGGGTGCCTGACCCCTTTTTTTTGGTATCTTGTGACATTGTATCTCAAAGAGTTGCCAAAGAACTTAAAAATGAGATCATAGAGTGATACTGTGATAGGATTGGGTAGCATTGCAGCTTGATAAAGCAAAACCACTCTAGGTCACAAGGACTACAGAGGAAGATAATTTTTTAAATTGTTTTTATGTACATGGGTGTTTTGCCTACATGTATGACTGCACTACATGTATGCCTAGTACCAATGGAGGCCAGAAGAGGGCATAGGATCACCTGGAACCAGAGTGAACAGAGATGGTTGTAAGCTATAATGTGGGTAATCAAATCCTGGTCTTCTAGAAGAGCAACCCAGTGCTCTTAAATGCTGAACTATCACTCCAGCCTCATATGCTGGTATTCTTGATTTTCACCTAACAGATACTTCAACCAGACTCTGGAGTATGGGAACTCCTTTCTTTTTTTGTTTTCCTTAATTTTCTGTCTTTGTGTCCTGCATAGGTTAACTGTTTTTATTTTTGTTGACTTCTTCACTAATCAAAAGAAGGTCAGGGCTTTTTTTTTTTTTTTAATACTGTGTTACTGAGTCCAAATCAAAGATCTCATTCTCTTTTAAAATTTTAAAAACATTTTACATGTATTTAGTGTGGGGTTTTGTGTGTCTGTGTCTATGTGTGGAAGTCAGACAGCATGCAGGAGACAGCTCTCTCCCTCCACCAGGGCTGTTCTGGTGACAGGACTCAGACCTGACAGCAGCCACTTTACCTCTTTTGTGTAATACCACACAGTGAATATTTTTCCATGTGTGTGCTTACATTTATTTTTAAAATACATTTATTTATTGTTTGTGTGTATGCACATGTGTGGAGGTAAGAAGACAACTTGTGGGTCCCAGGAATTGAACCAGGTCTGTGAGACTTGCAGTTAGTTAAGCACCTTAACTGCTGAGCCAAATTGGCCCCACATCTGTTTCTTGTGAGAATATTTTATCTACATGTAAGTGAAGAACTTACACTATGTTTCTATTTAAAGCTATTGCTAAAGTTAAATCTGGATAGGATTCATCCTTTGGATCCTGTTAAAAGGAAAATCATCCCCCTCCCTTTTTTTCTGGTTTGAAGTTATGCATATACTGCATTCTGATGATTTTCCCCATTTCTCCACAGCTGTGCATGCCTAAAGGGCTGTCTTTCAGAACACAAGCTGACAATAAAGATCCTCAGTTCCACTCGTTTATAATTACCCGGGAAGATGGTTCTCGCACCTATGGTTTTGTTCTCACTTTTTATGAAGAGGTTACAAGTAAGCAAATCTGTACAGCAATGCAGACACTGTACCAGATGCATAATGCAGAGCAATACAGCAGTGTGTATGCTTCATCCTCCTGCAGTATGGACTCACTGGCAAGTAGTATTGATGAGGGAGATGCAACTTCTCTTTTAAAACTCCAGCGATACAACTCTTACGATATCAACAGAGACACCTTGTATGTATCAAAAAGTATATGCTTGATCACACCTCTCCCTTTCATGCAAGCCTGCAAGAAATTCCTCCTCCAGCTTTACAAGGCAGTTACCTCACAGCAGCCACCACCCTTGCCGCTTGAGAGCTACATCCATAACATTCTCTATGAGGTGCCCCTTCCACCTCCTGGGAGGTCACTGAAATTCTACGGTGTTTATGAACCTGTCGTCTGCCAGAGGCCTGGGCCCGGTGAGCTCCCGCTCTCTGACTACCCTCTCCGAGAGGCCTTTGAGCTCCTGGGATTGGAGAACCTAGTTCAAGTGTTTACCTGTGTTCTGTTAGAGATGCAGATCCTTCTCTACTCACAAGGTGGGTATCCTTCGCATTTCATTTTCTAAAAACAAGTACTTATGCCCTGAACTACTTTATTTCATCGTAGAATCAATTAATGATCCTGTCTCTTTTGTTTTGCATAAAAAGAATAGGCTTGAGTGAGATGAAAAACTATAGGTTGTTTCTATTTGAAGTGACAGTGGCTGCAGAGATAAACAGGAAGGAATTGAAAGTGTTGTGTTGACCAGTTTGGGTGTATTTTTTTTTTAAATGAAAACAACTCTTTATCCACAACATATAATCATTAGATGCATTGAAACCTGTTACTATACATGACTAATGGACTTTCTTTCTTTACAAATTGGCAGAGTTTTACATGAAAATTCAGGGTGCATGTGAAAGCAATAAATGTAATGTTTACTCTGCAACTTCCTGAGGCAGACAACTTTGGACATCTGCCTGTAGGAGCACTGCAAGAATGAGAAAGAAAAGATGTGCGGGTGGGAAACAGATATGACTGCTCCAGACCTAGCAACAGATCTGCTAGAGTTGTATGTAGTTGTGTTTTTAACCTCCAAGTCCCAGAAGGTATTATCTTTATTGTATCTTTCATTCAAAGTTCTCCCAACACAGATTTAGTTAAGATACTAAGAAGTTTTGTTTCACTAGTACTTTTTTTTTTTTTTGGTTTTTCGAGACAGGGTTTCTCTGTGTAGCTTTGCGCCTTTCCTGGAACTCGCTTTGGAGACCAGGCTGGCCTCGAACTCACAGAGATCCACCTGGCTCTGCCTCCCAAGTGCTGGGATTAAAGGCGTGCGCCACCACCGCCCGGCTCACTAGTACATTTTTGATGACTGATACTGAGCCTAGACTAGGATACCTGTTTCCATCTGAATATGAATTTACAGAAGAAATACAGATGTTGTGTCATAATAGATACTGGGTTGTAGGAAATTGTAAACTAGCTATGTGCACTGTTGAAACTTTGGAAAATATGGCACAGCTATTTGGATTAGCCTTTTGCTAGTTTGTACTTAGGCTGGCAGCATTGTAGAACAGTCTCCCTACTGCTACTGTTGTGTTTATTTTTTCACTTTCCTTTTTTATTTTTCTATTTTAAATTATAAGTGAAACTGAGCCAAGCAGGCTATATTTATGCTTCCCCATCTTGTGTGTGTGTTGACACTATTTGTGTGTTGACAGCCCTTCATGAGGCTTCTCAGTTTATCCTACATAATAGCTTTGATAATGTGTTCAGTGTTGCTTTTTTGTTATCAGGGAGTTCTCTAATGGCTTATCTAAGTTCTTTATGTCCCTTTTGCTCTCATTTTCTTAGTGCTTATCATACCTGTTTATTACCTGTGTGAAGCTTTCTTACTCTTTTCCCTGGAGAGATGGTAGAATTGGAGAATTGCAGCATGATGTCAGCTCCCAGTGTCAGATTTTAGACCATTTCAGATTTCAGATTTTAGGATTAGAAATGTTTAAACAGGGTGGAGAAATGGCTCAGTGGTTAAGAGCCAGGTATTCTTGCTGGTCTTGCCAGTGACCTAGGTTTGATTCCTAGCTCACAACTGCCCATAACTCCAGTTCCAGGTGATCTAAGGCCTTCTTTTGGGCATGAGACACACATGGAGCACAGACATACATTCAAGCAAACCACTCATACTCATAAAAGAAAATAATCTTTTTTAAAATATTTGACCAGTATTGGTTTTAGAAATTTATAAATGCCTTAGTTTCAAATCTCTGTTCTGCCCCTTATTAACTATAAGTGCTGTGGGTGACTGACTTAATTAATTTTCAGAAGTGCTAGTCCCCTTGTCTCTCTGGGATGTTTTTGCCACCCACCCCTGATTAATTGTGAAAGGTAAATGAGAAGACCTAGCTGGAACTTTTAGACTGTGTTTGGTGTTCCTTTATCCAGGGGGAAATGAGACACAGGGCAGCTAAGTAGTCATAGCACAAGTAAGTAATGGAGTAGTTCCAAAAATTAGGCTTATATCAGTCTCTCTCCAGATAACTAAACCATGTTGGTAAACATACTGGATCTACACGTAATATTTCCTTACCTGTCTTAATACTTAATTTTTAAATTACTTATTCATTATCCAGCTATATGATAAATATATCATACTAAATGTTTGCGGAGTATGAAATGAAAGCTTTGTGTAAATGCAGTTTTGGTGGTTTTTAACATTGATAATGTCTCTCCCTTTAGAGAAAGACATTTAAGTGAACACAATTTTAAAAGAGTCATTATGTTATTTGCACTCTGGTGCCCGTTTTTGCCCTTTGTGATACTGTGTAAGGGGGTTTTAAGGATATTTAAAATTAAAGGTTCTTCAAGAACCAAACAATTACTTGTGAAAATCCAAAGTGAATCTAAGTAGATAGATTTCAATGATGAAAGTGTTCATTAAACTGATTTGAAATATTAGTTCACAATTTAGACAGACTTTGTCTATCTAGAGAGTCATTCTATCAGTCTTTTTTCAGTGATAATTGGCTATAAATTTTTAAGTAGAGAATGCATCTAGGAAGTCAAGGCTCTTTCCTAATACCTTATATCAGAAGAAGAATGTCTGAAGGTTACATGAACCCAGACATTGTAAGGTAGGAGTATGGTCCTCTTTTCAAAAGAATAGTGGAAATATAAAAGATGGAAAATTTAAACACCAGTGTCTGACTTTTGGTACCAATAATTAAAGCCTCCAGAACACTTCTGGGTCTTGCTTACTTACCTCCTTTGGCTCTTCACAAAGAAAATAAGCAGTTACTGCCGCCCACACAACCCTTGTTCCTGTTCTTTGTGCCTCTGCAAGGCTCCTCAACCAGTTCTTCAGTCTTCTCCTTTACTAGTTGTTGGAAAGTAGAAGCTACTTGTTTTCTTGAAACTGTTGGTAATCTTTTAATTTACATATTGCTAGTCATGCCAAAGTAGATCTTGTTTATTGGTTATAATTTATCAATCATAAAAAACAAACCTAATATTTTGGTAGAAAGAAACTATGTTTCCATGACCTTGATCCAAAAACCAATATAATTTAACCAGCTTTGACTAATATTTTAGTATTACTAGATTTGAGGTGGGTGGCGGGAGTTGCCTTGAACATGCTAGGCAAGTGTTCTACCAGTGAGCACATCTCCACCTACTATTAGACTTATTTTATCTTAAACATAACCTTAGTGTCATTAAAATTGTTTCTCTGTGTAACAGCCCTAGCTGTCCTGGAACTCACTCTGTAGACCAGGCTGGCCAAGAAGCCTGCTTGCCTCTGCCTCCTAAGTGCTGGGATTAAAGATGTGCACTACCACTGTCTGGCATTTGTCTTTGTCTTTTTTTTTTTTTTTTTTTTTTTTTTAAGATAGGGTCTTGTCGCTAGAGTTTTCCGCCTTGCCCACAGTCAGGACAAATCTTTGTCACCCGCCAGTCCCACAGCCGCTCAGACCCAACCAAGTAAACACAGAGACTTACATTGCTTACAAACTGTATGGCCGTGGCAGGCTTCTTGCTAACTGTGCTTATAGCTTAAATTAGTCCATTTCCATAAATCTATACCTTGCCACGTGGCTGGTGGCTTACCGGCATCTTCTCATGCTGCTGGTCATGGCGGCGGCTGGCAGTCAGTCCCTCTGCCTTCCTGTCCTTTTATTTCTCCTCTCTGTTAGTCCCGCCTATCCTTCCTGCCTAGCCAGAGCCGATCAGGTTTTATTTATTGATCAATCAGAACAACTTGACATACAGACCATCCCCCAGCACAGCCAAGTGCAGACCATCTCAGACACCTGCACTCAGGCCCATGGTCCTAATCATCCTCTATGTGGACCTGCTGGGTAACGCCACAAAGAACCCAAGAAGGGCTCCCACAGGACATACAGAACATCCCACAGCAGGGTCTCATGTGGCCCTGGCTGACTTTGAGCTTACTATATATCTGAGGATAACCTTGAACTCCTAATTCTCATTTCTCTACTTCCTAAGTGCTGGGGTTACAGGCATTCATTACCATGTCTAGCTCTATTTGTTGTTTTTAAAGCAGTAAAGATTTTTTTCAAGCCAATTGTGATAGCTATCTGGGACTATCCTATGCAAGCATGCCTTTAATAGTCTGATTTTACACTGCCCATCTATCTGACCATATGACAGAGTCATAAGTTAGTAAAGATTCAGATGTAAAGGTCTTTACCATTGTGTCTGCTCTTTTATCACTGCTAGAGAAACAGTGTGTGATTTAGTCAATCCACTGAGCTGATTTGTTTTTGGCTTCCTCAGTTGTCATAGTGACCTTCAAAACAAGATATGTTCATTTGCTTTGGAGCTGCCATCCATAAACCAAGTAGCCCTTTGTTGCCTGTTGAGAGGTGTCATGTCCAAGTGACAATGGAACCTGGCAGATTTTCGCACAATTCCAGCCAGTCCTACAGAAAAAGAGATGCTCTGCATTATATGAATCTCTTTGCATGCCAGTGTTAATGAGATACAATATAAACTATCTCCATTTTATTATGTAACTTTCCCTCAGAGAGTTTTTCTGACCTTACATGATACCATGAATATTTCAAATTATAAGATTTTCTGTATTTCAGTAATAGGGACGGTTTGGCTTAATATCCAATTGCAAACTCATAGTTGCTCCTCTAATGGAAATTCTGTAGTCTATTGCCCTACAGTAGTTACTAGGAAATATAGATATTTAGTCTAGTCTCCATAGTTGTTTCGTGGAGAATTTGTGTGTATCAGCACTGCATCTTCTTGTTTACATTGTTTGCTCAGGAAGTCTTGTTCATTCCCATTTAGCATGTCTAATTAGTATGGCTTGAAAAGTGAATTTATATAATGTCTGTCCCATAATAGTACATACTACATAGAGAAAGTGTTCCCATAAAGCATTCATCTAAACCCTGTTTAAATATTCTAATTCACTTTAGACTTCTACCTTAATTCCATCAACCCTAACTTTTTGTTGGTTTAGTTTTTCAAGACAGGGTTTCTCTGTATAGCCCTGCCTGCCCTGAAACTCACTATGTAGATC